TTCAGATAAATCTGTTTCTATCATCACTGCATTCAGCAGAAAAAGATCAGTTTTACCTTTTAATTTATTCAAATACACTTAAAAACCGTTTTACCCTGATTTGTTAAGTTAAATCCATTAAGCTGTTTTTACAGGACGGACGATAATAGTATTGGATATCGGTTTGATATTAACCACTAAACTAATTTCACATTTTATTGGCAGCTGTTGTCAGATGAGCATACCCCATCAGGCCGGCATACCTATAGTCAATACGCATGCGCAAGAAGTCGGATTTGTTTATTTTTGCTTATTTTTCGTACATAACTAAAGGAATAAACAGATATTTACTGGCTGATCTGACCGGATTTGGTCATCTGATAGAACACCGGCATTTAAAAATCTCTGATATTTTCATGCTGATATAAACTCTCCACTTCTGTAAGTCATCAGTTCATTTTACATGGATCAGCTGTTTTCACACCTTTTGTTCTCCGTTTCACTGATATTACCTGAAGGAGCCTTTTCTAACCGTCTACAGCAAAAAATATGTATTTAAATTTGGTACGATTCCTGCTAATATCGTACTCAATTCATTTTCTATTCAGTTTATTTATATAAAGCCAATTCACAACACGTCATCTCAAGGTACTTTACACGTTATATGTATGTATGTATATATATATATATATATATATATATATATATATATATATGTTTTAATCAAGCCATGATAATCACATTTAATAAAAAAATTATAATGTAATGACTTTTAATTATTTTTAATGACGCGCGGAAACCCTGTACTAAATATTTTTGGAGAATAAAAATGTATTTTTATTTTAACATGGATGATTGCAGCTGATGGCAGGTAGTTCATGATAAATCAGGTAAATCGGGGCATTGAAGGGTGAAACTGATGTGTGATCGGGAAGCGCTTCCTGCTGCTGACCTTCCAGGTGACGGAATAGGTGAAGAGAACCTCATTATCTCTGCTTGGGTCGATCTCCTGAGGGGCGGAGACACTGGCTTCGGGCAAAGTGCAAGTTTTACTCGTTTCAGCAGCCTTCAGATCTAAATAAGAAAAAAAATAAATGTTCTAATTCCACAGAGCTGTTAGCATTAGGCTCAGGTTAGCCAGAGCGTCTGGAGAACCAGTGAACACCGACCTTCCACTTTGACACTCTGAGGTATCACCTCAAACCGCACCACTCTGTAGTTGTGGGTCTCTCCCTCCTCCATTTTCTCCCTGTGGAAGTACAGGATGAAGGACAGGTGGTTGTGCAGATAAAACTGTAAAAAAAAAAGAAAAGAAAAGGTTCAGTTAGTTTCTATCACTGACGTCTCTGATGCATTTCAGCCCCACTGAGGCTCAAATAAGATGATTTCTATTCCGTCTTCAAACAGGAAACTGAACTTTCTTTTGGAGTCTCAAAATATTATTACCTATATTTGCTATTATTTTACATTTCATTGGTGAACTAAAGTAGCCGAAAGTAGAAAACAATCATTGTCAGTCTGGAAGGAAAGAACTGCGTTCTAAGACTGAGCTCTGCCATTTAACAAGGTGACACAAAAAGTCTTAGTTTATTTTTAT